AAAAAAAAGTGCTGACCCTATATTATTTGTACACTGATTAAATGGAATCGTATCGACTTTTCCATGAAATATATATTGTATTAATGTAACTTAGATCACCTTGTAAATATAACTATGCACTTGTGTGTTTGATAAGCGTGTTCCTAAGAAAAGTATGGTGAAAAGATGAATAATATTCAACTCAATTAAATTCAATTATTGCCACAAATGATTATATTTTATGTTACTGTTATTCTTCATTGATTTGTAAAAATACACCAAGTTTGCTGCAATAAGGAATGACTAGATAGTGTTAGTTCGATGTGTCTGTGTGTGTGGATGTTTGTAGGGGGTGAAGGTTAGATCGTGGTAGAGCCATTCTGTTTGGTTAACTTGTGTTCACTTAGTCGCAACATGGCGTATATTCTTTTGTTTTGTACTTACCCGGCAAGGCAGTATATTCAGGCGCGGATCCAGGATTTCTTAGGGGAGGGGGCCCAACTTTTTTTTTTGCTCCCGGAAATTTGAAAAACGCTCCGGCCAAAAATTCGCTCAGTGGGGGGGGGGGGGGGGGGGGGGGGGGGGGGTAGTGAGCACATTTTTTTTTTTTTTTTGATCCTCAAAAAAATTTCAATTTGCAAATCCCCCCCCCCTTTAGCGCCAGGGGGGGGCCCAACCCCCAAAAAGGTAAAAATCACGTGATTTTACATGATTTTTTTCTCAAGGGGGGGGGGGGGCCGGGCCCCCCGGGCCCCCCCCCCCCTGGATCCGCCACTGAGTATATGGCCATAATGTGCCCAAATTCGGACGGGGTTGGCCAAACCCCCCTATTCAGTGGCTCTGGTTATGGGTATGTGCGTTATGATTGAGGTTAAATAATGTTTCATGCACTGAGATGTGTGTTGATAAACGGTAGACGTAATCTTACGTTCATTAATCATGTTTAATTCATGACCTCCAGTCCTCTGAGAGGAAACAAAATGGCAAGGAAAATGGCTATATTGACAGTCTTATGTGAGCTGATTAAACCCCTACATGATCATTACATGCCCCGGGAAACGTTACCATGAATCGTAGGTTGATAACGTTGAACAATGTGATTGCAATACCCATAGCCATTGATGAATTAACCAACTTAGACACTCATATAATGAATTTTCAATTTCTACAACCGTACTTGAAATCAATTCAAAATTATGGTGACTATTTATCGCTATGTATTTCTTTACATGTACTTCTTATATAGTGTATATGTTTTTCGATCTCAGTTCCTGCAAAAAATAAACACATTTCGATTTATATAACTGCGAAGATTTTTCTTTTAAATTGACTAAACCGTGTCAAATCAAATTAAGGAACGAATACCTTTGAACACACTTAAAGTTGTCCAACTGATTTTTTTTTTCTTCAGATTTATTTTATTTTCCACTGAGTAATACGTTTAATAACATTCAAAGAAAATGATATGACAAGGAGCACGGTGATTTCATATACTCGTGTATTTCATGGAAATAAGAGATTTGTATTATATAATGCTCATTTTTAGCATGTACGCCTCCACTAGCAAAAAGATCAAGATCAATAGCTCTATAAAGGTATTTTCCACACACATAAAAAGAAGGACAATAATATTTGTTCGACTCTGTACAGATCACGTGTAGAAGCATGTAATCAACGGTCGAATCATACAACTTTTATTTAAAAAAAAAGACTTTATGCAGACCTGAATACATCGTCAGAACTAAATATTGGTAGAACTGCTATAAACAATTTCCAAATTATTAAATTTCTAATTTTTTTTTGGCTTCAAGAACGAAATATGATAATTGTTATTAGTAACATGATTAACACGATGTCAAAGACTTTCGAAATATCAACCTAGCGTGGGTTCTGTTATTGGAGGGGAGGGGGGAACCCTACTATATCAGTTGGTTTTTGTAATTCTGTTTTTGTAGTCGCTGCTCCCTTTTAAGAAATAAAAAGCTTTCGCGTCAGTTGTCATAATACACAATTCTATTTTGTTATACTTTTTGGCAGGTAAATTTTTACTTTTTAATTATTCAACAACAAAAAATCTCAGAGGACCTGATATGGTGGAGATACTCTTTTCATATTTATGCCCAATTATACTGATCCTATTTAACATTCATTACTTTAAGAGAATGAACAATTGAATGTCTTTACTTGCACAATTGTCGATACTAATGTTTTACCTTGTTAAAACAATATGAATGTGGTAAATATACCAGAATTGTATAGCCACGTATACAGAATCAGGGATATTTACGAACAAGAAACCTTTGGAGTCAGTTTCTGTTTACAGGTTTAAAACTCAATATGAAATCAAATCGTGATTTATATTTATCATAATCTGTTGTAAGAGGTGCATTCACATTATCTTTGAAGAGCATTGTCGAGCAAACTACTGTCCTTTTCCTTCATCTTTCCCCTCGCTCTCACTTTTGTTGTGGGTCATTCGATTGGGGGATGTGCCCCCACATGACACCCACCCACCCCCGTAGCTAAGCCACTGCATATGTGCGAACATGACATTTGCATTGATTACGTAATTCGAACCTGATTTCCATAGGCATTACAGTTGTTCAGAATTATTATTGACTCCCAGGTCATTCAACCTGAACTAATATAGATCAATAGTACTGTTTGGTTGTATCCCGTACTCCCACAGTTTCATGCTACCCTTCAAACGCTTTCCACAAAAGACTAATCGACTAGTGCTTGGTAGCCAGCTCCTTTTGTCTTCTAACTTTAGCATCATGGTCTCGACCGAGTCTTTCAGACGGATGAGTATTAGATATGTCCGTGATTCAAGATTTATTAGGTCGCGAACAAAGATCTGTACTGTGTTCCTCATGCCGCCTCCGATGTCGACTTCGTCAGCGGTCGCGACGGGGGAATTATTGTTAGCCGCGTGGTCGGGGGCGATCCGTTGATTTGGACGATGCCGATGGGTCCCCTTTGAAGAAACCCCTGCTAACTTGGTCCGTACGGACAGGGAACGCGAGGAGACCGACTCTGCTGCAACACGATCCACAGATCCAGAATGCACATCCGTTATGTCATCGTCCTTGATCGCAGAATCGGCCAGCTCCTGCCATCTTTTCATTCTCTCGACGACAGACTTGAGCCTGAAGTTCTGCGGGAGGGTCGTCAAGCCGCCTGGCGGTACCCTGCACTTCCTCTGACATAAGCAGCACTCGACCGTCCCTGTCCATCCCTTCATCCCAGCGTACTCTTGCAAGCAAGACAGGCAGAATGTATGTCCACAGGGCAGATCTCTAGCTTCTTGCAGGATACCATGACATATGGTGCAAGACAAGCATTCCTCAAGCTCGGCATAGATTGTTTTCAAGGCTCCACGGTTAGGCCTCGCCATTTTTTATACGATGGCTGTATGCCCATGTGAGCGATGTGCAGACCAGTGCTTACAGCGGGGAGATGTGAGTTGGTCAAGTGGCACGTTCACTATGTCTTGGTCAGGTCTGCCTTCGATCGCCTACAAAGTGGCACAGGCGACCCCGATTCGAAACTTAAAGGTCGGTCCCCACACGTAAATAATCATATCTGATTGATACACGTTTGTAAAAAACTCAATACAACTGTTTCTGAGTGGGCTTGTTTTATTAGGCCAATGATGGGGATTCCCCACGGCTCGGTCGTTTCCACATGTTTATACATGAATACTTCACGTCGAATGGCGCGTAAAAAAATATGACGTGACTGGTGTGATCGGAGCTTGAAACTGTACCTCATAATGATAAAGACTTCATTTTTAGTTGCGACTTGAATCTGATCTTCTTGATAGTTGTAGCCATAACTATTATCAGCGGTAAGCATCCAGAGGGGCGTAGGTAATTAGGTGAGCAGGGGGTATATTGCCGCCCCTAATTACAAGGCAAAGAAAAAGAACACTAATGCAGAAACGTGTCAGGACAATGAATCCCCTGAAAATAACCCCAATAGGACAATTCCCCCCCCCCCAGGAAAATCACCCCCAGGAAACTTACCCCCTAGAACAATTATCCCCAAGGACAATTACTCTATTAGACAACTGCCAAAAGACAAGATATCATGTGCGACACCCCCCCCCCCCCTCCTCACACACTCACACACACGGGGGGATTGTCCTTGGGGGTAATTTACTGGGAGTATTGTCCTTTGCATGGGGTAATTGTTCCGCTGTTAATTTGCTGGGTGGGGTGATTGTTCTAGAATCAGGCAGAGAGAGAAAGAGAGAAAGAGTGGGAGAGAGAGAGAGAGAGAGAGAGGGGGGGGGGGGAGAAAGGGGCACGAGAAGAATTCTGACCCTCTTCCTGAACCCTCCCCTTTCGGTAAATTTGCTACTTCGCATATAAATCAATTTATACCATACCCGCGTGCCTCGTTTCATATGATAGCGCCCCTCAGATCTCAAGAGATGAGCCCTCTACGTCGGTAGGCGATGATATATTGAGTTTGAAAAAATTGTCTTTCTGTAGTACTCTTTCTCTAAAATTGTCTTTCTGTAGAACTCTTTCTCTAAAATTGTATTTCCGTAGTGCTCTTTCTCTAAAATTGTATGTCTGAAGTACTACTCTTACACTGAACACACTTAATTGAGTCCTTGGTCATTTTGTCTTACTTTTTTTCCACTTTTAATTTCTTTTTCGGGGTTTAGTTCATCCGTCTGAGAAGATATATCGACTCAGAGGCAATTTCAATAGTATATCCAATAGAAATCATCCCGTCGATTTTTTTTCTCTCCAAAGGGCTTGCAATTATCTTTTTTCCCAGGAAGAAAAATATGAACCATTGCGCAACACAAGCAGGTGCAGCTTGGAAATACCCCCAAAAGAGAATAATGTCGCAAGGTTCGTGGGGAAAGCCCACTACGATCGAGCTCTGAGTTAGTTCAGAATCAGTCATATGTTGTGATGTTTAGATCAGTCAGAGAAGGTCGAATTCCGGAAGACTGAAGACTCCAGCAATATAGCAACACAAATATCATCACCACAGCGACAATGGAGAGTCACGCAGATTTTAAATCGATGTACACTGATCTTGTGGAGAACCTGAATTGTGCGATCTGTCAGGATATACTGAAAGAGGCTAGGGATCTAGCGTGTGGCCATACCTACTGCCTGGGATGTATTCAAGAGCTGGTAGCCATAAATGGTAGGTACTTGAACCATTAATATAATATTTATGATGATGATGATGATGATGATGAAGATAACGATTATCATAAGCGTAGGAAGGCTTTTTTTAAAGTGGAGGGGGGGGGGCTGAAGCACTTAACCCGATAACCTGAATATGCGCAAAGCGCGAAGTCCCTTGCGACCCGGGGTCCTGGGCCCGCTCAAGGACCCTGGAAACTCTGGGATTCTAGATGCTCTCTGGTGCAATATCAGCCTTATGTAAATATATTTTATCATGCTAATAACTGCCGCTCTAGATCAAAGTACGATATATAGGCATCATTGAAATGCAAGAGGCAAAATTTGGATTCGTCGTTGAAGATGTAAACTTAATTAAAGCCTGTGTCAGTTATGTCTTTTACAATGTAAGCGCTCCTCAAGTTAAAATGAGTAATACAGTTGTTGTTATTGTTGTTTTCATCGTTTTGCTTATGCTTTTAAAGGTTGGACGTCTAAAATCAAATGCTGTGTCTGCCAAAAGGAAACCCGAATCCCCTCCTCGGGCTTGACCAGTCTGAAGCAGAACTACAAGCTCAACTGCATTCTCGATGAGCAGGCAGTTATCATGAAAAGAATGAACGCCGAAAAGGCCTCTGCCAAACCGACACAGCATCAGGGAACCACTAATGTAACGGAAACACTGCAGATCTATGTGCGTAACCTCGAAGGCAAGTCGCTATCCTTCTATGTTCGCTTGTCAGACACGGTAGACGCCCTCAAGCAACAGGTCGCGGATAAGAGCGGCATCCCAGCCAATGTACAGCGTCTGATTTATCAAGGCAAGCAGCTAGAAGGCTCAACTACTCTGGAGAAGTATGACATAGAGAAAGGCTCTAACATCCAGCTCACACTTCCTGGCAAGGGAGGGCACATGACCCAATAAATCGCGTTGTCCTTAATAGAGATGAGTTCCCAGCATGTCGTGAGTCAATGGTATATAACCTTAAAACACGATTGTGTAATGTGTTATTGCCAAATGATCTATTCTTTATTGTCCGAAACTCGTATCCTTGACAGAGAATTCATACAAAAATTGAATTATTACAAATATCAAGTTGTTTTGTAATATAGTTTGTCCATTCATAACATTGCTATGTAAGTTGTCAAAACAAATGATTATTGGCAATATTTGGCAATAATGCATCATGTAGTCGTTCTTTCTGCTGGCTCAAATCTTGGTAATAAATTCATCCGAATCCAAAATTGTCCACATGATTCATGTGTTGGTGTTACCAAAGCTAAAAACTAAAAGATATTTTGGCGCTTTCTCTTCTGCATTTTCTGCAGATGTGTTTATGATTCGAGAATATTATTTTTCTAGATTTAAACGTGTCAAATTTAATATTAAGGCAACTTGGAAAACCATTAATGAAAGTTCGGGCAAAATGCGATGTGATTTTATTGAACAAAATGGTAGACAGATACATGATAAACAAGCCATTGTCCAAGCATTAAATAACTTGTGAGTACTTTTTGTAGGGACACTGTAAATAGTCTACATGATGCCTCCGTTGATTTCTTGCATTATTTTAAAACCTAAAAGAGACTTTTCAAATTCTACATTTAAGAAACCAGTTGAGATTTTGGAAATATTTAAAATTGTTAAAAAACTTGAATCATGTAAAACCCCAGGATATGATGATGTTAATATTGCCGTTCTAAAGAATCTATTGCTACATACCGCTGTAGGGTCAAGCATTATGGTTCAAGACATGGCCACACAAAGGATTACTTTTCTGTTGTGAATCGGGGCAAAATGTAATGATTTATTGATGATAAATTGCATTTTGTTTGTGTTTTGTATTTGAGGGGGCGGCGACGTACCCTAGCCCCCACTGCGTAAAGTCATGATTCAGTGGCTAAGCAATGGCCTCCTTACTGTGAGACCCCAGGATCAAAACCGTGTCGATCAGCTATATTAATGCCCTTTTGTGAGGCATTAATCATTATTACTATCACTATCAGTTATGACTTAAGGGCGTAGGTCCCCTAGTTAATTAGCATAGTAGCATGCTTTAGCAGTCACGCAAAACAAACACTCACAAATTATCATTCATTAAAATCTGAGAATGTAAACTATTATCCTGATCTATTAGGAATAAATCATTGTCAAAATCATTCCATAGATTGGGGTAAAAATAATTATTCCGCCATTATGACCAACAGTGTAATCGGTGATTGTGATTCTAGATGATTGTTTTATATGTAATAGAAATGTGACTTATTATGAAACTCGTCATTCAAATCCTTTCCACCTACCGATGTTTATTTATGACTTCTCAAGAACAACAATTATTTATGCCGGACCAAAATTATGAAACAAATTGCTTCAAGAACTTCAAATATCCCCAACAGTGTCATTTTTCAAAAGAAAGCTTAAGAAATTTCTTTAAATGAATATGTGTAACTAGGATTATTTTTACAAACATGTCTTTTCTATTTTTATTTTGTAATGGATTTGTCTGGTTTAATGCTATATATTGATGTTTCGTGTTGTTTTGATCTTTGTATTTTTATCTCGTTTTTAGTATATTCAAGAAACTTTTAAAGTAAATGTTCCCCCACCAAATTTTGATTTAAATTGAAGATGTTTCGTTTAAGCGTTTGTTATTGTATGTATGAATATCAATTTTACTTTTTTTTTGTTTTTTGTAATCAGATGTGGAAATAAAACTTAGACTTGAACTTAAAATTATCTGGCTTGGATGGAGAAAGTACAATTCAAAGATCTTCTGAAAAAAAGTACAATCACATGTCGATGATCATTTGATATCTCAATGGGGCCCGGGTGCACCTTTAAGGGCGAACTTCTTCATGTTATACTAAAGGTATGTGCCCCCTGTGCCATTGACCAACACCCCCCCCCCCCCCCCCCCCATTTGCCCGGCACTTGTTTATTAGAGGATAGTTAAATCAATATACTCCGTTTGCTCAAACGTGTCATTTTATGTCACATGTACGTTCATCTTTGTATTTAGATCACAGCGTTGGGTAATTGTTCAAAGTCAATATTAACCATTCAGCAAACTTCGTTTAAATGCGAGAAGAAATTTCGACTTATTTTCCTCCAAGTATTATCAAATTTTAACACTACTGGCATCTTGGCTGTCCGGGGCTAACATTAGATATGTGCCCTCGCTGCCAAAACGTATCTACGTAACTGTACAAGCAAGGGAGCAAGGCAATCTAACAATAATTACAGTCCTATATAAGCACTGTAATTATCTAACAATAGACATCTATTACATTTTACGCAATTTCTAAGCATTTACATTTAGCGAAAATCGCAAGGGAGCAATGAACTCGATCTGTACAGTTTTAAATATTTAACATCAGTAATTGACTTTCTTCCACAAGTCTTGCTAGTGGGGTTCGAAATTAACGACACCCCTAAATAAATACAGCCGCACAAGTTAACCAAAAATTAAGACTTTTCCCCGAAAGTTGAACCGTATCAAATACCTTTAAAATATCAGTATTGGAACGCAATATTTATCAAGAGGCTTATGTTATAAGTAGCGAAGCAATTAAAATTACATCTATGGTCCATTTTGTTAACCCTATAAAAAAAGTTTCTATATCCTATCTGACGGCGGCACTTTTAAGAGCTCCTACAATAATGCAAAATAAACTTACTTTTCCTTTAACTCATTTAAATTTGTCATTCTTTGGTAGAGTACAATGAAGGGCAATTTTTTGCAACCTGAAAGCTAAATGGAGAGAAACTGTCAGAGAAGAGTGGAATAGAATGAATGAGAAAGAAAGATGACAGATTAAAAGAATTCGGAGGAGAGAAAGAAGAGTTGTCGAACTTCACAGATATATACATACACGCAAGATAATTCATTAGAAATATATATATATATATATATATATATATATATATATATATTCTAGATTCTACATTCGTTTGCTTTTCAGAATTTATAAACTGTATTTTACATAGACATTTTTTATATTTTTTAATAGATTGCATTCAAACATTATTTAATCAGACTACTTATACAATATAGATAAATGAGAAGAGCTTAATTACAATTACCAACAAATGTTCTACTGGTTTAATCGGAATTCTAATATCATGTATCTAATCGTATGAAAAAGAAATAAGGAAAAGCAAATTATTAGAAACGATGAAGTGATTTCAGCTTTCCAATTATATTGGCGGATATCAGATATCAAAGGTAGCAGCATACCTGTAGATTCTGTTGTGCAACCTTCGAAAACGGCAGCTACTTGGCATAATTTGTTGCCAGTGGGGACTCCAGCTCTTTAAAACCCCTTGGTATAGCTATCCCGAAACAGTATAGCTATACCATTTTTGGATAGCCTTACGATGAAATTGTGTGTGTTCTCTTACTAACGATATGTCGTATAAAGAAACGTGATTCTTGATGAACCCCTCCCCCTTAAATATATATATATATATATATATATATTTTGGTACCAAAGGGTGACTCCAAAAAACTGACCTAACCCCCCCCCCCGGATCGTTGAAAAAAATTTGGAACCAAATTTGTTTTTTAAATGTGCTCTTACCCCCTCCCCCCCCCCCCCCCCCCCCCGCTTATTCAGCGGCTGGCTGAGGCGTTGCGAAAATTTTCGGCCCGATTCAGGAAAGTTGTAGTCACACGTACTGTTAAACGTGCGCGTGCAGGTACGGCTCGGTGTAAAAATGTCTGAGGAAAAATTGTCAGAGATAAAAATGTCAGAGATAAAATGTCAGAGAAAAACATGTCAGAGGTGCCACAAAAATGTCGAGGTGAAAAACAGTGCGGTCATAATATCTCAGCACTTTATCACACAAAATATCAAACGTGGATGTCGGTTTTATTGGTGTGGGTATGACTGGGCTAGCATTAACTAAGATAAACAAAATTACAGTGCACAATAAACCCAAGTAACGCACATAGAAGCTGAATACCATATACCTCTTCATGTAAGATCTAAAACAATGAAACCCCCCCCCCCCCCAGGAACATAAGTATTATTCCCTGTCTAACTGTATTCAAACGTAGACCTTATAAACGTAAACAAATTTTTAAAACATCACAAAACATAATGACATTAAAGAGGCATGTTCCCCGTATTCCAGAGGGCGTTCAAAATACGTACCCGCTGGCGGACGGTGCTAGCTGCCTTTTGACACCAACAGAATACGGCTCTTACGCAGATGGCATGTTCCGAATGCCCGGACAATACCGATTATCGCATACATGTGCCGAAGTAATGCCAATCGCAGTTCGGCTCTAAGATTCGGCTGCTGTTTCCGCCCACTTTCGTGACGTCGCGATCGTCAGCGATCAGCTGGCTTGGCGAAGGCAGGCCAGGCCGCGCGTACTTTGATTGACAGCTGTATGCAAATTAGAAGTCGATCTTCGGAACCAAGATGGCGATGACTAGAGCAGCGATAACTACACTAGCGGGAACATGCCACTTTAAGAGAACACTACTACATACATTGGCCCGAATTCACAAAGGAGGTTTGTCGACAAACCGAGGTTTATGTACGTCATATGACGCGTTTTGACGCTTTTTTTACAAACCTGGTTTATAAATAACAAAAGGAGGTTTGTCGACAAACCTCCTTTGTGAATTCGGGCCATTATGTTTACCAGCTTTTGTGCGAATTGGACTTTGAACAGTAGGCCTAACAAAATAAATGAAATACCAAACAATGAATATGACTCATCACCTGCATTTGGAAGTCGAGGGGCCTACCTCTCGTTTCCCATCCAATTTCCCTCTGGATCACTCTTCTGTCCTTGTATCAAATGTTGGATTAAAATTAAATGTGAACACATTTTGAAGAAGACCAACCCCATTGTCCACTTTGGACGTTGCTAAATTTGTTTTTATTATAGACCTACATAGTTTAAGAAT